GAGTCATGTTAATCTATAGTAGCCATTGTTTTTTGGATTCGATACCGAAACTCACAGAAAGTAGGGCTGTTTGAAGTGAAAAATGAAAAATAAAATGCAAATATTTTGGCTTTACAGGTATTATTAACACATACATATGGGTACGTTTGGCTGTGAGTCTTTTCCTGCTTGTCTTGTCACTACTGGTCACGGTATGGTACAAAAGAAGAAAAAGTAAGTGGAGATAATATTGTAGTAAACATGGTTAGAGAAAAGTGGATAAATAGTATTCTAAACACTTAGTATACTAACTATGGTCTATAAGCCTCATGTAATGACTGCGTTGCTTTCATTTTCACACAAAAGCATAAAAAAGCTTCACAGAGCAGCATAAAAAAGGTTCTCCATAAAAGATAATGGACATTAGTATCTGAGAGATAAATAAAGCACATTTTTAGACCCTGTGGTTTAAAGAGAAACTTGAAGTTTGCTAGGAATAGGTGACAAAATTAGAGAACATTTAATATTGGCCCAGGAAGATTTTTTATAATCCAAGAGAAAAGTCTTGTATATCTCTTTACTTTCCCTAATTGCAGAGTGAAAGAGAATTAAGAAAAAAGAAAGTAGGAGATGAACATAGGCTGCCTTAAAGAAGTTAAAGATTTTTCCCCACAGAAAGAAGCTATGAAATCTATGAATTTGTGAAAGAATCATAGCAGACCTGGTATTCAGCAGGTTCTGACCAGTTCTGGGGAATTGGTAGCAGAAATTTTGAGTATTTCGGAGAACCGGTAAATATACCATCTCTGACTGGCCCCATCTATTCTCTGCCTCCCGAGTCCCAGCTTATTGGGAGGGAATGGGGATTTTGCAGTATCCTTCCCCTGCCACGCCCACCAAGCCATGCCCACAGAAACGGTAGTAAAATATTTGAATCCCACCATTGAATCCATAGAAAGGATCTGCACCAGAGATGACGGGAGATTTGTGCTTTCAGAAGGAGCTTAGTACTTGAGAGGCTTACATCAACCTTGCAAATCTCAAAGTACAAAGCACCCACTTTCTCTTTTTACTACATGGGCAGTTAGGATGGATCCTTTCTAAGCTTCTTTCTCGGCCCATTGTTCAGCTGCAGACTCCCCCTCCTTTCATCTGCTCGTTCCCTAGGCAGCTTCTCTTCCCCTTGCAAGCTCATTCCCACCCACCATTATATCACCTCATGTGCTTGTATTGCAACAGAGAAGGAAAGTATGACTTTTCAGCCTTTCTTCTTCTTTCTAGACCTCGGATGCAGGAGAACATCTGGATGAAGTCTCCTCTGTTATTTTGAATCACCAGCCACAGAAAACCCAACAGGCAACCAATCCTAGGCAAAGCTCCGAACTTTACTGATATGCACCAGTGGTCAAAAATACAAAAAAGACCTTGAGGGGACGACTCCTGAGATGAATACAATAATGGCTTACTTTTATTTCCCCACTGATGTGTAATTATGGATGCCAAATCTAAGCACTGGAATATCCTGGGGGCTCCAGAAATGAGGTCATCAGAATGGTCTTGACTATGTTACTTCGGACAGTGAAGTAAGCTTCAGCCTTCAACTGTCTACTGTGGACCTTACCACATTCCTCAGAGGTCCGTAAAGGGTGCATGCAAAAGTGTGCTAGCCTGCCTAATGTCCCTGTCCTACTGTCCCCATCAATTTGTATTCATTTCTACCCATGTTTATATTTATGCCTTCTATCTTGTCCATGTTTGACAAACTAATAAATACAAATATTTCTTCACCACTTCCGATTGTACTTTCGATGCCCTCGGAAGCCTGATCTGCAAACCCTGCTGTCAGCTCCGACCTCTCTCTGTTGGAGGGTCACATTTCGGACAATAGTCACCCTGAAGCGCTACTGAAGTAAGGTGGGACTACCTGGCTGGTTGAGGAGAGCCACATATCTCCTCCCTGACTGGAAAAGCCCCCACATCTGAAGACGAGGAGCAGCAGTGTTGAGGCCTCAGAAAGTCCTCAACTTACGACCTAGAGGCTAACAACAAGCCAAGCTGCGCCCTGATTGGCTAAGATGCGGCTTGGCTAAGCATGGGCCACTAGGGATGCGCTTATTGGCTTTCCCTGCTTGACAGCTCCATATAAATAGCTGTCAAGTAGGGAAGGTGCTGAATCGCCTTGTACATAGTTCTAACCTGTAATAAAGCTGTCGATCATTCTACAGTCCTGGCTCCTATCTTGTCCTTCCGTCGATCTTAAAAACTGGCAACGAGGGTGGGATACCGGCGATTCCACTAAACGGCTACCTAGGACGAGCGAGAAGACTGTCAACCACGAGGCCGTGAAGATTCGCTAAACTTTTTTCCTTCTATTTTTTTGCTTCGCTTCCTCGCCTCACGAGACTCGAGATGGCAGCCCTGCCTCCATTCGCCCAATTTGGAACCTCTGGCAAGTCATGGGCCGGGTTCCTGGAGCGCTTCAAGTGCTACCTAATCGCCTCAAATAACCACAATTTGCCGCCTGAGGAGAAGTGCAGTTTTTTCCTCAGCTGCTGTGGTCCGGCGATGTTCATCTCCGCTAGAGCCCTAGCCTCTCCTTTGCCCCTCTATCAATTAAGCTGGGAGACATTAATGACCAAAGTGAGGAACCACTATGCTCCCACTCCCTCTCGGATCACCCGCGGCTACGCATTTTGCCAATACGTACAAAAACCAGCAGAGACTGTCAGCCAATTCCTACAGTCTCTGTGCGTGGCAGCGATCCAGTGTGAATTTGCAGACATGGATGATAACTTGGTGGAGCAGTTCATCTGCGGTGTAAAGGACCCTTGCCTAAGACGCCGTCTGCTGGCTCGACCGGAGGCCAGGCCGTGGATGAAGCCAGAGCCGCTGAGCTCTCGGAATAGTCCACAGCCGATATGCAGAGGGTTCAACCGCCGCCTCCTCCTCCTCCCGCCCTGACTGGAAAAGCCCCCACATCTAAGGCAATTTGAAGAGGCATGGATAACTTCCTGGTAAATTTAAATTGTTGACTACTGACTATTAATGAAACATTTAAAATTGTGACTTGGAAGATTGGACTAAAAAAGAGATTGATTAAACACAGATGCAACATAAGATGGAAGTGAGGAGAACCTAAACAGAATGGAGCTTTTTCAAAGGATTGAGAAAATATTTGATCGTATAGACCAAAAATTGGGAAATTTAATACAAATAATAACGGACAATCTTCCAAGTCACAATTTTAAATGTTTCATTAATAGT